GCTGATTTTTAGAATGACTTCCCTGACACATTTTAGAAAACAGAGGGAGAATAGCTCACTATTGTTACCTGAATCCAATTATATGCGGTCTGCTCTCCCAAGGATAATAGATAAAACGGACAGGCTGAAATGCTACCCTCTAGTACATCGGATTGATAATCCCTCTCATCAAACCAAACATTTGTGTGGCTTCTCTGAAGGGGGGAGCCTGTCACTCTGTCTCGCTCTGCTACCCGCAGTAGCTCAGTTCAATCTGAAACTATTTCCATCCCGTTTAATTCAATAGCCATTAATTCCCTGACTTCACTCCCTAACCCCTGAACATCTGTTTCTTCAAATGCCTATTTTTAGCTCCTTGGTGCGTTTGACTTCTGTTAAGCATTTACTTCTCACATACTATCATCTGCTAAAATCTTAATGCAAATGATAACCAGAGTTGTTACCTGAAATCTGTTGCTTTACTTTTTCATTTTGTAATACTACGGTATATATTTAAAGTGTGTGTGATTTTATGTATGTGCGTACGCACATGGTGAAATTATTTTATAGTGAAGTGGTTACCACACTATTTAACACAGCTATTTAACACAGCAGCTCCTCACATAGTTATCACCTTTTTGAGCACGCTGAAAACACTTAAAATCTACTCCCTGAACAGATTTCCAGTATAATTTAAAAAATTTGATAATCCCCAATGCTGGCAAAGGCAGGTGTAGCTAGTACATGCATATTCTGATGACATTATAAACTGACATTCTAAATTTTAGAAAATTATATAACATGCAGCAAATAAAATCACAAAAGTATTTGTACCACTTATGTTGTTTTTTTCCCTTTTCTGAAGATCCATACAAAAGATAAAATTGAATGAATATTCTTTCTAACTTTAGGTGTAATTGTGAAAATGACCAAAATTTGAAATTCCTCCCAATGGATAAAGGCCCTCCACGTATTTGAATATTGTGCAGTCATGTGGCGCAGCGGTTGAGTGCTGGGTTGCGAAGCTGCCCGCAGCCTCTGCAGCGCCAGTTCGATCCCCGGCTGCTGCTCCCTGGCCACCGGAGGAGGGTCCCACATGGCGCGCAGACCTCTCCTGCCGCCCGCTGCTCCCCTCAGCAGTGTACTTCGGTCCTTCTGCCTGCTCTGCTCCCCGCTCTGGCTCTGGTGGATCCTCTCACCCTCCCGCGCTTCTGACTGTACCAATATCAGTGCTTGTATCAATACATAAATAAATAAATAAAAATAAATTTAAAAAAAATGATAAGTATGACTTAAAATATTTCTAGTATATTTGAAATATATCTAGCAGAGTCTGAATAAAAAATTAAAATACAACATGTTATTATTACCTCCTTTTGAGTCTTAACCGTATGTAAACTAGACAGAAATTGACATTTCACAGGAAAAAATTGTTAATACTGCTTTAGAGAATAAGATTAGTTCCCATACAATTCGGAAAAAATTGTATTTTTATTTATTTATTTTTTTTTAACGCAAGGGTAGAGTCAGCTATTCCTACTTGATCCTTGTTAGGGACTCTTTGCTGCAACTGCAGATTTCTGAGCCCCCACGGGGGTTGCTACGGCAGGAAGAAAAGAACCAGCCTGTAGGACACCTGGACAGACAGACCATTCCTGAGTAACTTCCGATCCTCTTTGAAGCAAATCCCAAATGTTGCAACCTGTCAAGCCACAGGAGAAGTATTATTTTGAGCTTCCTGGACAAAATATAATAAGCCCCAAATAATCTTATTTTAGATTTCATCAGTTCTCCAAATAAGGCATTAAACGTTCTGGGGCGCACACACTCCTTAAACACGCGGCCTCGGTCCCCTCGTGGCGCACGTCTTCTTGGCCCTGGTGGGTGAGGCTGGTGGACAGCCTGGGTTCTAGCCCCTCTTTGATTCAGGAACAATAAGTAGCAACTAAATGAGCCGATTGATTTGCCAGTCTGAGGACCAACTGCAAGCGGATCTAGCACTGTAGTTTGGTATTTCCAGGCAAGTTCACCTCTGGAGGTGTCTGTCCTCACCTCCCTGATAACTCAGATTCTTTAAAATTCAATTGCATCTCAGAAAACAGGGAACTTTCCAAGCACAGGACTTCCCCCTGGACTGGTATTCACTGGTGTGTCAATCAGATGTTCAACCTTCCTTTAAAGTTTAAGCCTTATTAACCTACACACTGGATTTGACTGGTGATCGGCCACCGCCGACAATGCCAGGCGCTCCCAGGTTCCAAATCCTATCGCCCTGGTTCAGCTCCCCACAAATTCTCTGGAAGGGATAAAAGCATCGCTCACATGTCTGATTCTTGGAACACAGGCAAAGCGAGGACAGCGTTTCATTTTATTTATTTATTTATTTTTTAAGTGCGCAGAGGTCCTGCTGATTGAGACATCTTGGAGGAGACCCAGCTCCCTGCGCTCCTGCCCAAGAGGCTGAGTGCCCGCCGGCCGCCCGGGCGCAGTCGAGAGCGTGCTGCGCGCGCCATATGCGAGATCCCCACCAAACATAGAGTTGGCAAAGGTGCTCATTTCAGAGGCGGCCGTGCCAGGGTTGCCCAGATACTGGGCGAAAGCTTGCCTCAGAGTTGAGAGTGCCTCCTCAAGAAGATTCTAGCTGGGAAGTCATAAAATAATCAGAGGAGGCTGCTTGGATGTCAAAAATATGGTGTGCCTGCCTGGGCTGGAGAAAGGACAATCCCATCCCCTCTCCCACCCCTGCCCACCCCGCCATCCCTTGGTGGATTTCTTTGTTCCATGGCAATAGAAGACTGCAGCCTTTCCATGGATTTCCAAGACCTTGGCCCCTCTGTTGCTTTCCATAAATGCCAGCTTAAAAACAAAGTAATGTAGACATCCCTGGTGAGTGGAAGCCGAGGGCCAGGGACGGAGATACAGAGCCTCACAGACATGGAGACGCACAGCAGGACCCTTGGCACTTCCCGGCATAGCTGCTTTCCAAAGTCAGTGCAGTCGAAGGAGAAAGGAGCACAGAATTTCGTGACGTCATCTCGACATTAATTGTACCTGCTTTTTTAAATACCAGAATCGCCTGACATTCCTCAGATTCCTCATTATCTGAGGACTAGAAATGAACTTGGAGGAGGAGGCTGGAGGCCTGTTTCTGCCCCAGATCTACCAGGTTACAGGCCCTGAAGTCCCAGTCACTGGACTTGGGGACACTTCTGCACAGCCCGGAGCAGGGAGAGTCTCCATGTCACCTCCAGGGACCTCAGGGACCTCAGAACCCCACTTCCAAGCCTGACTGAGAGGAGGCAAGGGGAAAAGCAAGGCTTTCACGTGACATTCTGTGGCCGCTACTCCTGCTTCTTCCCTTGACTCTGTATTAAGTTACATCACTTGCGCAACAACAGAAATCAAAAGGACCATCTAAAATCAGATTAGGGCTGTTGCATCCACTGACCGGTAGCCTGCGAGCATGAAGCTGGTTCTCACAATGAATGACTTCTGTACACTCACCCAGCATGCTGGAGGGCCCATGGAGGGGGTGGGGGGTTTCAAGGGCACTGGCCCTGCCAGGATGTCCCATCTGCCAGCGGGGGTGTTAACATGTCACGGTGCCCCCGTCCTGGTTGGCGGTCACTGCCTCTGCCCTAGATGCCCTGACTCTTGCTGGGTAGGTGCTGGGTGGCACAGGTAGTTCAATGGTTAAACTCAGGCCCACAGTTCCATCAGCTCCCTTGCTCAGGTGCTTCCTCCTCCTCTTCCAGCATGAAATAAGGCCCCACTGGCCTTGAGAAGAAACTCATGTGGTTCATGACAGGTAGAAATCTTCAAAATATTTTCTTCAAACTTGTTAGTAACTAGCTAGAATTACATGATGAAACTTCGGCCAATACCCCTGTCCTAGAAGTCATGGGGTTGAGTAAATATTAGAAATCGATATTTTATCAGTCAAAAGAGCTGATATCTTCTCTTCATCTCTCTTCGAGGTGCCAGAGTGATTTAAATTTTAAGGGAACTAAATCACAACAAAAGCAAATCCTCTTTTCTTTGCAAGGAACATGGATTCTGAGAGATTACAGTTTAAGGCCTCTCCCCTTATGTTTTAAGGGAAATGGTGAAAATAAAGCACAGTAACATGAAGGCGGTTATCCAGTTCGTGCTTGCTGAAGGGGACACAGCTATTATGGAACTTTTTTTTCAATAAAGAAGTTGATAGGAGAAAAAAGGAGAGGAGCTTAAGATTTCCCTCCAAAATTGTGCATGTTGCTAGTTTATTTTGCAAGTTCCAGATGCTGGATCAGGTGAGAACGATAGGCATGATTAGGAGACCATCGGAGAAAACACAAAACCAAAAGCCTTTCAGTTGCCTTTCTTTCTTTCTTTTTTTTTTAAGATTTTATTTAGTCATGCACACAAGAGCTGGGGTACAGGCCAGAGGTGCGGGAGGTGAGAGGATTCACCAGAGACAGAGTGGGGAACAGAACCGGCAGGCTGACTGAAACACACTGCTGAGGGGAGCAGCGGGCGATTCAGGAGAGGTTTGCTGCACCAGATGGGTTGCTCCCTGGTAGGCCGGGGATCGAACTCATGCTGCAGAGGCTGCAGATTGTTTCATAATGTGGTGCTTAACCCCTTGTGCCACCAGGGAGGCCCAGTTGCCTTTCTTTTTTAAAAGCCCCTGCCACAGCCCCACTTTCTTCCCCGCTCAATTTCTCCCCCAGGGAGCCAAATCCAAAAGAGCATGAAAGCCAAATGCTGTCCTTTTCACAGCACAGGCATTGCAGGGAGATCATCCCAACCTCTGTGACTCCTTCTCCCCCAAATCTGGTGAATGGAAACTGGCACACAGGCGGGAAGGGCAGGAGGAGCCATGCCCGGGATGCACAGAGCATCCGAATGTCAAGGCCACGGCCGCCCTTCCACTCTGTGGCTTCCATGTTATCAGAGTAATTTACTAGCAGGTGAAAGTTCTCCCTCCCATTGGGGGCCAGTCAAGTTCTTCAAGGACACCCAGGCAGGAAAGTGCACTGAGTTATGAGCTCTCGGGGCTCCAGCAGGGAGGTGCTGGCAGAGAGAAGAGGAGATAGATACAACTTTCCAGCATTTACCTCGAGAGTCTCCTGAAAGGTGAGCTCAGCCTCCACACTTGCATAGATCATCTGCTGAAGAGAAGTGACTGGAGTAATTCAGAATATTGTCGAAAAAAGGAGGTAACTTTATTTAGTGGAAGGGCATGGGGTGCTGAAGTCAACCATAAAATGCTGCTCGTGAGTAGTCAGGCAGCAGACTCTGTGAACCCCATTTTTCTTTACCTGAAAAATGGGGGTGAAACCTTCATAATTGAGCAGCTACACTCGGGTGCAGAAAGAATTTTGAACACAAAATTGAGGCACAGGGAGATATGTGGCACCCCGTGCAGGCTTTAAAAGAGAGAAAGTGGGCCTCCCTGGTGGTGCAAGGGGTTAAGACACAGCACTATGAAGCTAACTGCAGCCACTGCAGCACGAGTTCGATCCCCAGCCAGGGAGCTACCCACATGGCACAGCAGACCTCTCCTGCCTTGCCCACTGCTCCCCTCAGCAGTGTATTTCAGTACATCTGCCTGTTCTGTTCCCCACTCTGTCTCTGGTGAATCCTCTCACCCACCGCATCTCTGGCCTGTACCCCAGCTCTTGTATGCATAAATAAATACATCTTTAAAAAAAATTACAAAATAAATAAAAGAGAGAAAGCAACTCCAATGAAAATGCCAAATTAGAAAAAAAAACCTTCAGTGGATTGTTATTTTTATATGTACACAGTGGATTATTATTTTTAATATAAAGAATGCTTATAAGTCAATAAAAGCAATAATGAATACAATTTTTAAATGGCCAACAGATATAAAAGACATAGAAATGGTCGATAAGCATGAGGGAAAAAAGTTTGACCACACTAGATATTGAAGAATCATTAATAACAATGGCAAAATGAAAATTCCATATTTGATTTATCAAATTAGGAAAGACTTTCTCTGTTAATACCAAGCATTGCTTAAAATGAAAGAAAATGTACGTAGTTTGATATTGGAGGTTGAAATGCAAATTGGCATAACCTTTCTGGAGAAGATCCAAAAGTTTTAAAGATGGCCTTTACTCCTTAGCCAAATAATTCCACTTTTGAGGATTGATCTTAAGGAAATAATTACACAGATGTGATAATGATTTCGCGGAGAGGATGTTTGCTACAGTACTGTTTGTAACAGCAAATATTTAGAAACACAACCTAACCATTCAGCATTCATTCAAGTAAGACATTCAACAAATATTTACTAAGCACTTAGTAAGCCCTGCGCCATGGACAGGGTAGACCAAGTAAATCAAGGCATTTCAATGTAATGAAGTCCTCTTCTGCATGAAAATAAGATAGAATATTTAATGGCAGAAAAAAAGCAGCCATCATGTATTGTTAACTGGAAAAGCATGTTTAAGATAGGATATGCAATATAACCCCACTTGAAAAATACATAGTTCACACAATTTAGGAACTATCCAATCAATTTCAAATAGGTGATTGCAGGATAATGGGAAACTGTCCTTCCTCTTGCTATCTCTACCTTCCAACTTGTCCTCAATTAGCATGAATCATTTTACGATCTTTTAAAGAGTCACTAATTTGAAAAGAGCATCTACATTGTTTCTTGAGGGTATAATTTTTTAAAGTATTTAGTATCTAATAAATGCCCCAAACATGTTGTCTCTCTGATTATTTGCTCTCAGCACCTTCAGTGACCAGCCTTCTGGGAACCTGTCACTTGAGTGTAAATTCGAGGTTCCCATTGGGAGCTGGATCTTTGAGGGGGGGTCATCCTGGGACACAGAACTTGTCAAGTCAAAGCAAATCTGCCAGTTTCTCCTCTTTCTCAAATCACGGCCCGGTCTCGATATTCTTGTTGTTCCTGTTTGTTTGCTCGTTTGCTCTCTCCGATGTCCTCCTGTCTCTGAAATCATTTTCTTTTTCTCCTGTCTCTGCTTCATTATTTTTTTTTTTTAGTTCTGCCCACTTGACTTATTATCTTCTGGTGTTGATTTTTCTTCAGTCTTTGAACTCTGAAGTTTCTTCCTTATTTTCAAATAATAATAAAATGAATGTTGTCTGTAATGTTTTTGAAGCTTTAGAGACCCATTTGAACTCATGTTTCCTTAGATAATATATGTTCTCCATCTGCCTCTTCTGGTGTCATCTGCCCCATTCTCCTTGCATATTCCAGGCATCAATTGTATGTTGTGTCTCTTCTTCACTTCCCTGATCTTTAAACATGGCCAGACACTACGAGTTTGTGGAAGCACAACAGAAATGAGCTGAATCAACGTGCTGTTTTGTGTGAACTTTGCTGCCTCTTCCTCTGTTTGCTAAGTCAAGTATTTCCTTCATCTACAGACCATCTTCCCACAATGTCAGCGTTTAGGTGAACCATTGGATAAGACTCCCAAAGTCCAGCTTGTTACTTCTAAAAAAAGTTTTCTGTGCTCAGGGTCTAAAGAGTAATGTGGGGATGTCAGATTCTTAACTTTGTTTACTCACAGCTTTCAGTCTTTGATGAGTATGCTTCATTGCTTGTTTCAGTGAAAATAGTTTCCTTTGTTTATTGTTCTACTTTTTATTGTCTTTCACAGACTTCAAGGGAGAAAAGGGGAGAAAAAGATGTCTCCGTATCTTTAAATGGAAATCCAGCCCTGTGAAAACTTGGGGCGAATTTCTCCAGGTAATCAGTCTCATGGAGCGATGCCAGAGGAAGAGCTGAAATATGGGCAGCGCCCTGGTAAGCTGGACGCTTAGCTGTGCCTGCCTGTCCTCTCCCCAACTCTTCCCCAGCCCCTCCCCACCTTCTCAGCAATTTTCCTCAGGCTTCAACCCAGACTCTGACTTCTATTTCAGAGAGAAACCTGGGGCCCTTCCCTGTCCCCCGTGCCTGCCATGATGCGTTCAACTTTCGTTCCCCTTCACTACAAACTGAAGTGCGGGAGACCCTCGTTATTTACAGACTCCTTACTTAAAAATGTGCTTTGTGACTAAAATTTATTTGTGACCCCCGAATCAATGCTCAGAGTGCACGCGTGTCCTTCCTGGGCCTGCACAAAAGAGGAGCGATGGAGCCACCACAGGCTCGTGTTCACAGAAGAAGCTGAACAAGATGAAGCTCCGAGTCCCATTTCCGGTCTCGTGCTATAAACAGGTTCTTTTCTGTTGTCTATTTAGTCCCACGGTCTTGGTAAGGCATGGCAGGAGAGGTCTGTTGCGCCATGTGGGACCCTCACCCGGCGGCCGGGGATCGAACCAGCGCTGCAGAGGCTGTGGGCAGCTTCACAACCCAGTGCTCAACTGCTGCGCCACCGGGGAGACCCTACTCATGAATGATTTTAGTGATTAACATGCCCCCGAGCATAATGTAAACTCTGTCCGGTGCCCTCAGCCTGAGGTGTGCCTCATGGAGATGTGCCAGACAAGCTTCTTCCAGGCCAGAGTTTCCGAGCTGTGGGCCTTGAACCCGGTGTTAGTGGATCAGCAGCACAGAGTAAATATGCTGTCTCTGGAAAGAAACACTCATAAAACAAAGTTATCTGTTACTCGGTGGACAATGTGAAGGGAGGTTCCAGGAGCCTAGGCCTGTATTTCCCTAGGAGCAATGGCTCAGTATTCACAAATTCACTGTTCACTAATTCCACATTCACGGCGACTTTATAGCGCATAAGTGCTCTGGTCACGAGAACCAACCATACCTTTCTGACGATTCTAACCTCCTTTCTTCCAGTGTCAAGATCGAGGCCCACCTTCTCCAGAGTCTTCCGCTCCGCTCCTCAGGGAAGGGACCACTCCGTCAGCCAGGCCCTAGCCCTGCACCTCTCGCTTCTCTGTCCTCAGACTCTTTCTTCCAACCTACACAGACACTGACACTCCTCCTACCCTGAAACTGGGTTCTCCCCTTCAACACTGAGCTAAGTGCTTCCCGTACCGGACTGTTTTCACACCTCAGCCCAACTCTAGAAGGGAGGTGCGATACTTACTTTACAGAAAAGGAAACGGATGTGCAGGGATGTTAAATAGTTGTCCTAAGGTCGCTATTGAGCATTGAGGGTCGTGTCTTCCTCTGCTCCAGACTCTTCTATTCTTCTCATACTGACATCATAAAAATAAGATATAATTCATGGCTCTTGGCCATCGCCTGCTCTTCACTCCTGAATCCGCTGCGGCAGTCCTGAATTCTGTCCTCAGCTGCCCCCAGCCCAGTGCTCACTGATGGCCTTGAATAGTCACACGCCCCGAGTCCCTGTATTCCTGGAGCTTGTCCTGCTCATAGCACTGCTTGAAAGTACTTTTTGGCTCTGAGTACACTAGTCTCTTCCCTCTCCTCACATATGCAACTGTTTCCTTTTTGTCACCAATATACCTGAGTGTGTCACCAGTCACCCCCATTTATTACAATTGGCCTTTTCACTCTACACCCCTTTACCTGGCACTGACCTCCAGGTGCTAGACAAGGGAAAGTTTGGAGCCTCCAGCCACCTGAAGACAAAGACTTTGCAATCTGGCTGAGACAGAAATTATGGCCCTAGTCCATATCAGGTTCAGCTCTGGCTCTACCTGCTAAGATTACCAGGGGCGGGGAGGTCCCTAAAGACTGGAGCAGTTTGGGAAGGCTTCCTGGAAGAGGTGCTAAGGGCTCTGATGCTTACATGAACACACAAGAAATGAAACACCCAAGAGAGGACCTCCCTGGTGGCACAGGTCTTAAAGTCTCAGAACTATGGTGCTATCACCAACCACTGCAGCACAAGTTCAGTCCCTGGCCTGGGAGCTGACCCACATGGCGCAGCAGACCTCTCCTGTCTTGCCCGCTGCTCCCCTCAGCAGTGCATTTCAGTAGATCCGCCTGTTCTGTTCCCCACTCTGTCTCTGGTGAATCCTCTCACCCCAGCCTCTGGCCTGCACCCCAGTTCTTGTATGCATAAATAAATAATTAAAAAAAAAAAAAAAAACAAGAAGTGTCCTGTGCTCCAGAAATGTCTCTTGAGAAGAAAGGACCCGAAAGAGCACAGGGCTCAGCCCAGTGTCGGGGTGGAGCTGCAGGGCCGTGTGGGCCTCCAGTCAGAGCAGCTCGGCCCCCCGGGGCAGTGTCCTCTGCACACAGTCGAGAGCTGCCCCAGACGTGAGCGGGCAGAGAAGAGGGGGCAGCCCTCACCCTTGCTCAGTGACTCTCAATCCAGTTTCTTTCCAGGGATTTCTGACAATGCAAGGACCCTGCAGTCATGATTAGTCTCCATGAAAAAGGGAAAAGAAGACAGAAAAGAACTTAAGGAAATGTTGCCCCTGGAGTGTTTTGAAATCTGGTGGAAATTCTTCCCTCCGCATGCATTTTCCCGGCGGGGTGACCCTCTGAGGCGGCAGAGGTGGTGGTGGCGGAGAGGAGTCTTCCCATAGCCCAGGACACAAAGCTGGTGTTGTTGAAATGAGAGCCGTGTAATCAGCTAAAGAATTCCTGAGCAGAACCAAGGGCAGCAGATACCCAAACCTTGAACTTCTGTGCCTCCCTGCATTTTTCAAGTGCTTCCTGGAGAAAGAAGCACCCAGGGCCTTGATCTTCTTCTAACTTAATTAGGGGCATGCAGGAATGGCGCAGGGGCTAAGGATTGTCTCTGGAGCCCAGGGCTTTGAGGATTCCGAGGCGAGGCAGCAGGAGTCTGGGCGGGGGCTGTGTTTCGCAGCAATGCTGTGTGTCCGTTTCCATTGTCCCGCCTTGGAATGACAGGGAAATGGCATCTTCTGCCCTGATGGGTGGTCTCCAGCCCTCCACAAGAGGCTCACATCTCTCCCGTGGTGTCTGCGCCCTCCAGGCCCCCGGGAATAAATGAAGACCGAGCGCTGGCGTTTGCTTTTCAGCACCTGCCTGTCCAGACGCCGGCGAGGAGCTGAGGGCACTGCCGGGCCGCCAGCTGGACTCTGGCACCAGACTCCTGAGCGGCGCTGCCTCCTGGCTCTGCCCACACCTGGCTGTGTGGTCCCGGACAAGACCCAGAGCCTCCCTGTGTCTGTTTCCTAATTTGCAAAAGGGGGCTAGTGCTAGTAACTTAACTCCTACACTGAGGTGATAATTAAAACAAAGGATGCCACGGAGCTGCTTAGAACCATGCCCAGCAATTAGAAAACACTCAGCAAAGGTCACCTGTGACTATCATGAGGCCACGTCACCGCCAGCTTGCAGGTGTGGGCACCCCTTTCTAAGGGAGCACCCGGGGATGAGAGCTGCAGAAAGAGGTCCCCCATTTATCTCAGGAAATAATTCGTGATGGGAGCAGATGAACTCCCCACCTCTAAAGCTCGTTGAGCTGCAAATCAGCACCCCTCAGACCTGCCCCTGAAGTCAGCTTCAGTTCAGCTACACAAACACTGCGGAACGCCATAGCCTGTGGCCGCCAGGGCAGACTCTGGGCTCCCAGGCCAGACACAGCGCGGCCTGCCCTCCAGCTGTGCACAGTCTGGAGCAGAGGCTGGCGTGCAAATTGTTACAGCGTAACCAGTGAAGCAGCAGACCTGGGATGAAGTAGTAAAGGAATCAAAACAAAACCAAGTGAGAGACTGTGAGAAGCTTATCGCCCCTGGTTCCCAGCATTTTTGTAGAGGAAGCAAGAGGGTTAGAAAGCATGCCTTTTCATCTGCTTAAGAATAGAAACTGCTGCTTGGCAGGTTTCTGATAAATATGTATTGAATTTGTTTTCGCTGAATTCCATTTTCTGCGGCTGCCATCTCGGGCTGTGTACCCCCTCCCCTGCCAGGCCTCCCCCCACGACTTTGCCTCCCTGATGATTTGTCTTCGGAGACCCTTGGGTCTGGCCCCAGCTGGCTGTGACTGTCTCCACCTGTGGTTTCCCACTCTCTCCTGGTGACCACGCCTCCAGCGTGTCTGCTCAGCCCTTCACAAAGGGGGCTCCCTGGCCTCTTTCTGAGGTCTCACCATGAAGAAATCCTGCAAAAGCTGTGGACTGAAGGCCACACATCCTACAGGTGAGGCTGAATTTGAGTACTTGGGGGGCTCTTCCAGATCCCTTCTCTACCTCAACAATGCCACAGCGGGAAAAACTGGTAGAAAGAGCATCTCCAGAGTGGATCTGGGCACGTGCACAGCAGAGCTGGACCTTGGGCCCCGAGGGGCCCTGAACCCAACCCCTGCTCCCCTCTCTGCCAGACTGCCACTTGTGAACACGCACAGAACATGCTGTGTGCCCCAGCTAGCTACCTGGTACACACACAAACACACACACACACACACACGGCTCAGAGGGGGTCCACAGATCATCTCTGGGTGTCGCTGCAGACTACTGGGCACGAGCAGAGCAGGGCAGGACCAGAGGGGGCTGAGCCCCAGGGCAGGGCCAGGGCTGAAGGCAGACAGCCTAGTCTCACCTCCACAGCTCTGTGCCACTGGGACATGCAGGCCAAGGGGTTGGGGCCTCAGTTTCTCCATCCACGAAACAAGCAGGTTAGCCCTAGCTGCTCTCGGGGTGCTCACCCAGCTGGGCACACCTGGAATCCCAGCCCCTCCATGGCCCTTACCACATGGCACTGCCCTCTCCAAGGTGGATGGGGTGGAGAATATGCAAACATGCCTAATTAAAGCTGGAAGTCCAAGCAGCATTTCTGTGTGATTCACCCAGGCCCCACAACACTGCAGAAAGTGGGGCAAAGCGAGCTTTCATCGCGTGCCAGATGGAAGCGTGGGCAGCCGAGGTAAAAGAACAATTTTCTCTTGTTCCAAGCATGTTTCAGGGGTGCCGCATACCCCTGTCAGCTCACTCTGCCTCTCCCTCCCCATCTCCAGGCACTTGATTACCCCTGCCCCCAAAGCATTCACAGTCTGGAACTTTCTAATCATGGCCTGCCTTTGTCTGGGCACTTGGGATCATATGGCATCAATTGAGAGCGTAACCCGACTCAGGTTTGGTATTTAACATACCTGCGCAGAGGAAGTGTCTTTGAAGGAGAAGCCATGTGTGGTGGCCCTCGACCCTCCCTGCCACGGGCCCAGCCCTTCACCTCTTAATCAGGCTCCCAACTAACCACCCCAGGTCTCACAATGGAGGTGCAATTACCAGGGTGAGGAGATGAAAGAGGCAGACCCAATGGTCCAAAGGTTCTTTTGCTTTTAAATTATCCATGATTTACCTGCATAAAAGGAGAGGAAGTGCCTGAAGATTATTCTAATTGAGCCAGACTTTTCAAATCATGGAAATACCAGCATTTCCAAGGGGAAATCCAATCCGTTCAAATTGCCCCCGTGAGTAACTCATACAAACAGAAGGAAAGAGGAGGCTTTCTTTTGCCAATGTGGGTCTGATCAGTGTAAATTGGATAAATGACGGGGCCAGGAGGGCATGAAGCTCCCAGCGTCCTCTGCCCGCGTTTTCTTAGCCAGGTTTGTTAAGGGATCCTTCTGGACCACAGGACGGTGGAGGAAATTCCTCCATTTCGGCACCGAGCCCCCTCCTCGTGTTATTGGAAACAGGCGGGCGTGTTTTCTCCTGGTCTGATGTACGTCCTTCCAACTTGTGCCCCGAAGGTCTGCAGAGAGCAGGCGTCTTCGGCGCTCATCCGTGGAATTGTCTCGGGCCGGACTTCAGTCACAGCATTCAGGACAAGAGCACAGGCGTCCCGGGCGTGACTGCTCGACCTTCTCCTGGGAGAAGGTGAGGGCGCCTGTGAATGGACACCTCTGTCCATGGGACTGGTCCGGAGAGGCGGCATGGAGGCCAGAGGAATTAAGTACCTTCCGTAAGGTCAGAGTTCACGTCCCTGGAAAAGCTAGGGCAAGACCTTCCTGCCTTTGGGGGTCCCTGATCTGCCCTCGCGTTGAGACAATGGGCCTTTTCTTTAGGTTCAAAGCCATGTGTGTAGGGACTTCCGTACAGAAACTCCAGGCTCACAGGGCCGCCTGCATGTTTGCAAGTTTGACTCAAGAACTGACACAGGCATAAAAATAAGTGGTATTTTGTAATATAATGTATTCTACCATCATGTATATTAAGACCAAGTGCCATCGACATTCCATCTTGGAGTTCTCAGTCAACAAAAAGAAGCAAACATCTGTGAGTTCACACAGTGAGGGTGTGTTTATGCATCAAGCCGTTGTACTCAGAACCGTCCACCCCAGGGTCACAGGTACCACAATTTAAAAATAAATTCCAGGTGACCACGCTTGAAGCACTACCCTATAGCCCTCTTTTAGGGTACAGAATTGTATTTGCTAATCAGAGAACAAAACCTGCTCCTGCTGAGCTGTAATATTCTTCTTGCCATTTTTCCGAAAGATGACCTTGACATTGCTGGATTCCATCACCAGCTTTTGCTGAACAAATATGGCAGAGAAGCACCTTGCCACTGGCAGGTACTTCCACAGACCTTGTCAATGATGTACCTCAAGCCAAGGCTGGAAGCCTGGGTGCTGTTGATACCCGCATTTTGCAGGAGAGGGAGTAAAGAACAAAGCCGGAGCGTTGGGGGAACCAGGCCTCCAAAGCGCCCCATCCTCCCGGCAGAAAGAGTTTATAGTGACCAGAATCCCACCGCCTTCCTGTCCAGAAAGAATAATGAGGCTCGGAGAGGAATTCCAAACCTTCCCAGTTATTCCTCCCCCCACATCCTCACCCATGAATTGTTGGCTATAAATTGAGCGAGATGGTCTCACCAGGCAAAGTGTAACTCACTCTCATATGTGCAAGGATGAGAAGCGGCGGTCGGGGCGGCTTGGAAATATTTCCACAAATTTAAGAACATCAAGAAATAACTCCACAAAGAAATGTAGGCACAGCTCGATTCAGTAGTCACAGACGTCTACGGACCTGAGTTTATTTAAGACACAGCGTACGTGGCACCCACAAACGCCCTCTGTCTCTGAGAACAACCCCGTCGCGGTCACGCACTGGCCTGCTCCCGCAAGGAGGGCACTGC